GAACCCGGTAAACCCGTTCTCATCGAGAACAGTGTTAAAACGATAATTCACAGTCAACAAACAAAAAACAATATATATATAACATGCATAACATTCACCACAACCATATCAATCACAAACATATCTGTATGGAATCCTCCATAGGGTTTCAGCCCCATATCCTAGCCAAGTCAGCATGGCTAGGGGCGCACCACGCGCACCCGTCACTCGCGTGACGTTGGTCGTCGCGTCACCTGCGACACACGCGTATCACGCGCTGGTCACACTCGTGACCAACCGATGTCAACTCAGCATGACACAGACGGGAAAGTAACCACACCCGTATGGAGTCCACCATAGGGTTCCAGCCATAAACCCTAGTCAAGTCAGCATGACTAGGAGCGAGTCCACGCCCGTCAAGTCCATGGCGTTGGCGTTTCAAGTCAGCATGACACAATAAATCGTAACACACCCGTATGGAGTCCACCATAGGGTTCCCGCCATAGCCCTAGTCAAGTCGGCATGACTAGGGGCGCATCACACGCCCGTCAAATCCATGACGTTGGTCGTCGCATCGCATGCGACCATATCCCAATCACAATCACGCTTACTCGTACCGCACGAGCGAGCTACAACCATGGCATACATCGATAAATCGTAACACACCCGTATGGAGTCCACCATAGGGTCCCGACCATAGCCCTAGTCAAGTCGGCATGACTAGGGGCGCATCACACGCCCGTCAAATCCATGACGTTGGTCGTCGCATCGCATGCGACCATATCCCAATCACAATCACGCTTACTCGTACCGCACGAGCGAGCTACAACCATGGCATACATCGATCATGCATGTTAACCCCAGTACAATCATGCGTAACCCGGTATTCGGCCCCGACCGATACACCGTTTAACGCCATACAAACTACCCAAAAAGAAACACACAACGATTCACTCGCGATGTTTATTCTCACGTCTCACCATGCGCAATCATTCAGTTTATTCGGATTTATTTTCTCTTGTATCTCAAGTTGGTCCAAACCTAACCAAGATTCGGCCCGGTGGACCAAAATCCGGTCCGGTCGGACCGGATCGGGTCCGTCCCCTCTTCGTTGGTCAATCGGACCATTTTTGGACAAAAACAGGCCTTGTCCGTCGGACCAGTTTCTGATCCGGGTCGGACCAGGCTTCCTCAGCCCTTTCTCCTTGGTCTGGCGGACTAAAAGCAATTTTCCGGACTTGGTCCGAAGCTGACCAGCTCCTGGTCCGGCGGACCGGAACTGGGCAGTTCATTCCTTCGCGTTTTTGGGTTTTTGGTCCGACTTCGATTGCTCATAACTCACTCGTTTCTTAACCAAATTACGCACCGTTTGTTTCTAAATGTTCTTTGGGATGTTCGCTTTCATATCCTATCAATAGATTACTTCAAATCTACGTATACATGATGAAAATTGATTCGTAACGTCTGTACCTCATAAGTTTCGCGATTCTGCAATTTCTGTTTTTTCACATATTTCGTTTGTTCATATCTCCCTTGTTTCTCAACCAAATTGAGTACCGTTTGTTTCTAAATCTTCATTGAAATGTCCTCTTTCAAACGCAATCAACGAATCCTCGAGATAACACAATCACATTGACGAAAACAAGCTTACACAGACGCAACTCAAGCCACTCACCTTTGCTCAGATTCGGATCTGAGTTTTGGCCGGATTTCTTGTCGTTTTCCGGTGACTCCGATGACGGTGACCCTCCTAGACCCTCTGGGGATGACCCTCTTTGCCCCCACGAGCTTCTTTCTCCTTCCCCCTATCTCTTTCTCCTCCTTTCTCCCTCTCTTTTCTCACTTTCCTCTATTTTCCTCTGCAGCCGAAATGGCTGCATCCCCTACTTTGTTAGGGTTTTTGGCCACGAAGGAGAGGTCGAATGGGCTCAAGAAAAGGCCTAAGTCCAAGCCTGCAACATCCTTAGGGTCGTGAGAGGTCGAATCGCGTCGAGAGGGGCCGAGACAGGCTGGTAGATCGCACTCAAAACGACTACTTCGCGAGCATGTGCTGGAAAAATTTGCACTTCCGGTCCGCCTGACCAAGAATTTGGTCCGCCGGACCGGATGACCAAAACATATTTTTGGTCCGCTGATGCCCGGTTTGGTCCGACTGAGCTTCTCGTCCGGCTGACCAAGTTTGGTCAGCTCCGGACCAACTCAGTCAGTTCGGACTCGGTCAGTCAGTCAGTCAGTCAGTTTTCTCAAATTTTCTTCATTTTCTCGGTCTTTCTGCACGTGTCGATCCTCGTGCTTGCTCCCGGCACTGTACTACTCATTTTTGGTGATTTCGCGACCTCTCTATTTAATAATTTTTCCCAAAAATAATTAAATATTCAAATCGGGTTTCGGGGTATTACAAATCCTCTCCCCTTAAAAAGAATTTGTCCTCGAATTCGAAAGCATATATTATCATCAAGATTTCGTCGCATTCGGTATCATCACTAAAACACATCCATAATGTCGCGTCATTCGAAACATCAGTCTAGCACAACCCAAAGTCATACGTGAGAGTTCGCACAATGCTCAGGTAACAACTAAAGGTAACTATTATGCATCTCAGGCTCGGGTTCCCAGGTTATGTCTGAGACTCCCTCGGCTTCTCCACAAGACCTTTATGAGTGGTACTGCCTTCGTCCGAGGCTTCTTGATCTTCCGGTCCACTATCTATGATGGATCATCTCGAAAGTGTATAATCTCTGGAAACTCCAATTCTCGGGGCTATAACAGGTGAGCAAGATCTGCTACGTACTTCTGTAGCATCGATACGCGGAACACGTCATGGATATTGTCCAATTCCCATGATAACTCGAGACGATATGCTACTGCACCTAACTTCCCGACCACCGGGGTAAGGTCTGATATATCGCGGCTTTAGTTTTCCGCTCTGTCCAAACTTCACATCCCCGGGATTTCCTAAACTCGGATGAATGTCCGGCCTCCATCCTCCAGAGTAACGTCTCATCTCCTCTGAACGGTATACGACTTCTGTTGACCTTGCGTCATCTTCCGGTTTGTGCGGATCTTCCGAATCACTTTTGTGGTTTCCTCCACAATTTCGGGTCCAAATTCTGGTCTCTCCCCGATCTCACTCCAACACAGGCATTTTACACTGTCCCCCATATAATGCTTCATACGGTGGTACACCAATACTCGCATAGTAACTATTGTTGTACGCAAACCTGTATAACGTCATGTACTGATCCCACAGAGTTCTCCACTCTAACACTTATGCTCGGAGCATATCCTCCAACGTCAATATAATCCGCTCCGTTGGTCCGTCTGTCTGGGAGTGATATGTCATATTCGTCTTCGACTTCATCCCCAATGCTTCTTGTATCGCCTTCCACTAGCGCGATGTGAATCAGGCGCCTCTCTTCGATATGATCTCGTTCAAAATTCCATGTAGACGCACGGTCTCATCACTCTGAATTTGCGCGAACAGTTCACTCAAATACTCTTGACAGATGGGAATGAAATGAGCAGATTTGGTTAGTCGATCCATGACTACCCCAAATGCCAATCTTCTTGCTCAGTGTGAGTGATAATCTATCCACAAAATCCATGGGGATTACATCTCACCTCCATTGTGGTACCTTGGACGGCTGCAATTTGCCTCCCGACATCTTGTCGTTCTGCCTTCACCTGTTGACAGTGAGACATCTTGCCACAAAATAAGCGTCATCTCTCTTAATAATCTAGCCACATACAACATCAATGTAGTCCCTGATACATCTTACTCGCTCTCAGAGGTATCACTAGCCTCGCTTCATGATCCTTGGTTAAGATGTCCTTGTTTCAACTCGGGGCCATCTAGCACGCACAACAAGTTTTTTTTTTCAGTCTCAGTGTTCCATTATCGTCAATGTGATAGCCTTCAAGGCCATACTCCTCAATGTTTTCAAACTACTGCATAAGCAATCACGAGTATTTCCTGATTCAGGGACCAATGTCCCAATTTAGTTCCCTAAATCTGAGATATTACAATGTGACGATGCCACGTTCGATCGACCATTAGAATCCATTTTCTAACTTAGTGTGTCCAACACTCTATTGTCTTTTCCCTGATGACAATTAATACTTAGATCATAGTTTGCGACAATCTCTCGCCATCCCCGCCTTCTGAAACTCAAGTCCTCTGGGGAATTGCAAAGGTCGAGCTGTCATTATCAATGTCACCCCTTTCTCCAAAAAGGTGTGACCTCCAGATCTTCCAACGCTTTATGAAATGTTACGAATTCCATTTCGTATTTCGAACAGTTCTCCTTATGCTTTTCAATTACCTCGATGCATAAGCAATGACATGTCATCTTGTTTTAATACGCAACTTGGTCTTGTCCAGATGTGTCGATAATAGTTCTTTACCTTATCCTCGTCATGGCACTGTCAAGACTGGTTTTTAACCTAGAACCTTGTTATAGTCGGTTAGAACTATTTTTACCTCGGTGGTCCATTCAAGCTTATGTAATTTTTTTCCATTTGACTTAGTCTTAGGTCGTCTGTTGCGATTAGTCCTATCTACGACTCAAAGATAATTGCTAGAAAGTCGTAGAATTTTGGTCTTCCATCATGGAGTTTGGTGGCCTTTACCTGATGATAGTTTCGGTCTTTAAAGAGATCTACTTGGGATCCTTGAATCCCCTCGGTGGTCCATTCAAGCTTATGTAATTTTTTTCCATTTGACTTAGTCTTAGGTCGTCTGTTGCGATTAGTCCTATCTACGACTCAAAGATAATTGCTAGAAAGTCGTAGAATTTTGGTCTTCCATCATGGAGTTTGGTGGCCTTTACCTGATGATAGTTTCGGTCTTTAAAGAGATCTACTTGGGATCCTTGAATCCAAAACGTGAGTCTTGCGCACAGGCGATCTTCTATCCTCCTCCACGGTGTTCCCCGTAGGTGTTCATCCTGGTACCTTGATCTGATGAGAATATCATTATGGTGATGAACTCATCTTAAAGGAAACCGTAAAAATGTGGTTCGTCGTTCAAAGCGAATCCTTCTGCAGACCAGTGACCATTGCGGTTCCCAAGTTCAATAGGCTTGGGCTTTCATCATAGAGATTGGTGACCTCTAATCGATTATCGCTTCGGTCTTTAGAGAGGTCCGCTTAGATTCCATGAGTCCACACCATGCTTCTAGAGCACATCCAGATCGTTGTACTCTCTATAAGTGTTTCTCTTAATGAGTCAATCTGATGAGGGCATTATTTCCATTGCGATGAACTTATCCAGATAATCCATTAGAGTACGATTCTTTTTCCATGAATACTACTGTTGCGTTTGTGAGTCTTCACGACTTTACTTGAACCCAGAATAATTATCTCGAGTCGTGGACACTTTGTCCTTTGTGCACCTTTTGCCTTGGCAGGTGATGTCATGTCCAGGAGTCGACCTTGTAGAATCGTCGAGTTCTTGGTGGTTGATCTAGTAATCCATCAATCTTCGATAGTGTATATCGATTCATGATGTTCTTTCGGTTTTTTTTTACTAGTGGTGGGTTTATCAGAACTGCATCGTTGTCGTTCCTTTTCACCTTAGATCTTCTAGGTTAGTATGGAGGGGTCATCTGCCAATGCCACTTATATGTTAGGTGACGCCCCCTTTGTCCTAGACTCCTCACTTGGTAGGGTTGGTACATGTTCCTTCGGGTATTATCCTATGACCTCTTAAGAATTCCAAAATTAACCATTTGATTATGATCCAATGGGTTAAGTATTCGATTTAATTTTGGAAATTGTTATTTTCTAGCTTAGCATATCATGGCGGCATTCTCAATGCGCCATGTTAATTTCACTAAGGTTTCGACGACTGCAGCTCACACCACTTGTACGGTTTTCATAAAACAATTTTTCAATGGACATGGTTTTCGAAAACATTTTTCATTGTAAAACCTTACGGTAATGAGTCGTTCTTTCCCATAGAACGAACGTTGCTCTGATACCAAAAGTGACACCCGAATCCCGCTTCCCGTTAACATGATGCGCCACATGGACTAAAATCAACTAAAATAATATCAAACAAAAATACGGGAATTTTAAAACTTTTTAACCATAATACGCAGCGGAAATACACACGATCAATATCGCAAAACAACACATGTCCGAATAGTAAACGCACATCGTACAAAATATGGGAATACAATTCTCGTAGTCCAAAATACAAAACCCGTACATGATGCTGCCTCTCTCAGGTCGTCGTCGTCCAATGCACTAGGCGTAATCCTCGTGATCTGAAAAATATAAAACCACGAGGGCTAAGCACAACTGCTTACTGAGTAGCCCGGGTTGAACCCGGTAAACCCGTTCTCATCGAGAACAGTGTTAAAACGATAATTCACAGTCAACAAACAAAAAACAATATATATATAACATGCATAACATTCATCACAACCACATCAATCACAAACATACCCGTATGGAATTCTCCATAGGGTTTCAGCCCCATATCCTAGCCAAGTCAGCATGGCTAGGGGCGCACCACGCGCACCCGTCACTCGCGTGACGTTGGCCGTCGCGTCACCTACGACACACGCGTATCACGCGCTGGTCACGCTCGTGACCACCCGATGTCAACTCAGCATGACAGACGGGAAAGTAACCACACCCGTATGGAGTCCACCATAGGGTTCCAGCCCTATATCCTAGCCAAGTCAGCATGGCTAGGGGCGCACCATGCGCACCCGTCACTCACGTGACGTTGACCGTCGCGTCACCTGCGACACACGCGTATCACGCGATGGTCACACTCGTGACCACCCGATGTCAACTCAACATGACACAGACGGGAAAGTAACCACACCCGTATGGAGTCCATCATAGGGTTCCAGCCATAAACCCTAGTCAAGTCAGCATGACTAGGAGCGAGTCCACGCCCGTCAAGTCCATGACGTTGGCCGTGTCAAGTCAGCATGACACAATAAATCGTAACACACCCGTATGGAGTCCACCATAGGGTTCCAGCCATAAACCCTAGTCAAGTCAGCATGACTAGGAGCGAGTCCACGCCCGTCAAGTCCATGACGTTGGCCGTGTCAAGTCAGCATGACATCATAATATCCTGACCCACCATAGGGTCCCGACCATAGCCCTAGTCAAGTCGGCATGACTAGGGGCGCATCACACGCCCGTCAAATCCATGACGTTGGTCGTCGCATCGCATGCGACCATATCCCAATCACAATCATGCTTACTCGTACCGCACGAGCGAGCTACAACCATGGCATACATCGATCATGCATATTAACCCCAGTACAATCATGCGTAACCCGGTATTCGGCCCCGACCGATACACCGTTTAACGCCATACAAACTACCCAAAAAGAAACACACAACGATTCACTCGCGATGTTTATCCTCACATCTCACCATGCGCAATCATTCAGTTTATTTGGATTTATTTTCTCTTGTATCTCAAGTTGGTCCAAACCGAACTAAGATTCGGCCTGGTGGACCAAAATTCGGTCCGGTCGGACCGGATCGGGTCCGTCCCCTCTTTGTTGGTCAATCCGACCATTTTTGGGCAAAAACAGGCCTGGTCCGCCGGACCAGGCTTCCTCAGCCCTTTCTCCTTGGTCTGGCGGACTAAAAACAATTTTCCAGACTTGGTCCGGAGCTGACCAGTTCCTGGTCCGGCGGACCGGAACTGGGCAGTTCATTCCTTCGCGTTTTTGGGTTTTTGGTCCGACTTCGATTGCTCATAACTCACTCGTTTCTTAACCAAATTACGCACCGTTTGTTTCTAAATATTCTTTGGGATGTCCTCTTTCATATCCTATCAATAGATTACTTCAAATCTACGTATACATGATGAAAATTGATTCGTAACGTCTGTACCTCATAAGTTTCGCGATTCTGCAATTTCTGTTTTTTCACAGTTTTCGTTTGTTCATATCTCCCTTGTTTCTCAACCAAATTAAGTACCGTTTGTTTCTAAATCTTCATTGAAATGTCCTCTTTGAAACGCAATCAATGAATCCTCGAGATAACACAATCACATCGACGAAACCGAGCTTACACTGACGCAACTCAAGCCACTCACCTTTGCTCAGATTCGGATCTGAGTTTTGGCCGGATTTCTTGTCGTTTTCCGGTGACTCCGATGACGGTGACCCTCCTAGACCCTCTGGGGATGACCCTCTTTGCTCCCACGAGCTTCTTTCTCCTTCCCTCTATCTCTTTCTCCTCCTTTCTCCCTCTCTTTTCTCACTTTCCTCTATTTTCCTCTGCAGCCGAAATGGCTGCGTCCCCTACTTTGCTAGGGTTTTTGGCCACGAAGGAGAGGTCGAATGTCTCAAGAAAAGGCCTAAGTCCAAGCTTGCAACATCCTTAGGGTCGTGAGAGGTCGAATCGCGTCGAGAGGGGCCGAGACAGGCTGGTAGATCGCACTCAAAACGACTACTTCACGAGCATGTGCTGGAAAAATTTGCACTTCCGGTCCGCCTGACCAAGAATTTGGTCCGCCGGACCGGATGACCAAAACATATTTTTGGTCCGCTGATGCCCGGTTTGGTCCGACTGAGCTTCTGGTCCAGCTGACCAAGTTTGGTCAGCTCCGGACCAGACTCCTTTTCTTCTTCCTCGGTCCGCCTGTCGCCTCCGAGTCCGAACTGACTGAGTTGGTCCGGAGCTGACCAAACTTGGTCCGGCGGACCAACTCAGTTTTCTCAAATTTTCTTCATTTTCTCGGTCTTTCTTTACGTGCCGATCCTCGTGCTTGCTCCCGACACTATACTACTCATTTTTGGTGATTTCGCGACCTCTCTATTTAATTATTTTTCCCAAAAATAATTAAATATTCAAATCGGGTTTCGGGGTATTACATTGCTTGTCTATTTGAACGGCTAAATGTAGGAGTTCGTGGAGATCACGGTAAGGATGGCGCTCTACCTTACGAGCGATACGTTCTTGGAGTCCATCTAAGAATTGAGCCATCACCGTCTCCTCATCCTCTTCGAGCTCTAATCGACTCCTAATATGTTCGAACTCCTCAAAATATTCTTCCACCGGCCTAGCTCCTTGGGCTAGCTTCCGATACGTCCTTTGAAGTTCTCGGTGGAAATGCGGAGGAACATATCTCTTGCGCATAAGGACCTTCATCTCACGCCAAGTTCCAACTTGCTCTATGTGAGCTCGTCGTCGCTCGGTGGTTTCCCGATCCCACCAAGCTAGCGCATTCTCTGCTAATTGAGCAGCGGCATATTGGACCCTCCGTCGATCCGAATATGCATAACATTCGAAGATGTTATCCATACGGCGCTCCCAATCTAGGTATGCTTCGGGATCTACTTTTCCTACGAAGAGGGGCGGTTTAAGCTTAAGGTCGTTACTAGGCCCTCTAGGTTGTCGAGGTCTTAGTTCTTCTTCTTCCTCGACATCGTCTGCC